AGGAATGCCTAACATTGTTTCAGATTCAAGCCTGCACCAAAATGCTTGTGAAATATTGAGTAAAAATGACAGAATAATACATTCTATCTTCAGTGCAATAGCATCAATCATCTGATATAATCAGCAAATTGTTAAAACAGGATTAAATTCAAAAAGCAAAAAGCATGAACTATGACTTGTTTTCACAAGTATTTGGGTCTTATGGGTCACAGCTGATGTGTGCTGACAGGACCACAACAACTGGGCCAGCCAGGAACATCTCTCCAACCCATCCTGCAAATCCCAGTCCATCCACTTACAGAGCACTTCTAACACTGCTTTTTCTGAATGGAAAAAACACAAACTGAGTATCAGCAGGTAACCAAGGTGAATTCCTTCCATTTTAAATGTAAGCATGGTCTTTTTGTTGTAGGCTGTTGAGTTTTTTCTTTTTGCAAGACCATGTAAGCATGCCAGTCCCATTGACTTCAAAAGAAACTGCATCTCCATGGCAGAAATTAGCATTTTTTCCAAATGCTTTTCTTTTACATTCTTCCTGTAAGACGTACTTAATTTTTTGAGACTAACGCTGCACCATCCACAAAGCAAAAGAAAATGCCAACTTATCTATTCCTGGTATTTGCTGAATGTTTTTTTTTGCAGTGTGCTCTGACCTAAACATGTGAGGTTCCAAATGTTTTCACCCTTCTTGCTCTAATTTTTCCCTTCCCAGAAAATATCACATTTAGGATCCTGAAGACCCGCTGCTGCTATATAAAGCCACTTCTGAGGTACAGATAATTCCACCTATTGCACTGATAAGCATTCAAATTATGATTTATCTGCAGATGCCAGAAAAGATGTTATTCTGAGACACTAATGGATGCATAAAATTGGACCCAGACAATCTGTAGAAAAGGCTGCGGCCTGTGAAATGAACAGTCAAACTTAGCTGCCTTTTGTGATGATGCTTGTGATGTTGTTGTATTTGATATCAAGGTGTATACTGAGTTATAACCTTTTCATTTAAACTTTCTAAAGATGTTAGATCTCCCTGCAGCTGTAGCCAATAACGGGGAAACACGGGGTTTAGACTAAGCCATACAGAGGGTTCCTTGACAGTGGCTTTTCTCCCTCTTTTCTCTTGTCCCCAGTAAAAGATATTTGTGGCTACTCCAGTTTTAAGAGAAACAGAAAATGAGCTTCATGTGGTCCAGTTTAAATGCTTCTTGTCACTTGCAAACAGCGGAAATCTTTTCAGCACAATTCAAAAGCACAAGCGCTTCCTTCCTAGCTTGGACCACTACTGAATATCAGAGTCCACGAGGGAAGACAATCCACTTCTGACAAAAGTCCCTTGGATAACTGTGGCTTCAAGAAATCCGCCTCTGTTCACAGACCCAACCCTGTAATCTCTCTGTATAGAGACAAACCTTTGCAGAGCACAAGTCTCAAGCCAGTGAAACTATCTCCCTGTGACTTTGGCCCCTGGGGACCTCAGTTTTCCACATAAGTAGGATAGAGAGAAAGATCTGAGCACTCCTCTTCCTCTTCCTTTCCAGTTTCGGAGGCTGAACTGTGATCTCTTTTGTTTGAACAAATTATAGCCAAGTAGATACATCTGAGTAATTTCCCCTGGACACACGCTGTGTATCAGGTAATGTAAACGGGCAAAACCCGAAAGGGACTTTGTAAGAGAAATGTGCCCATTAATTTATACTCCAGTGGAACAGTTGGCCAGTGTGATGAAATACCCTCGAGGCGAGCCCTGAAAAAGCAATGCTCCTAAATGCTTCTTTGGAAAGAGTCTTAGGAAATGAACAGCCAACGGAGCCGTATACAGATGGTTTAGTTTTTGTAACTTTCTTTTTCCACTTTCACTTCAAGACGACACTGCAAAAGACTCTTCATCCTCAGCTTCCAAACGCTGTACAAGCACTTTGTGTCGCCTTTCTACTCCAGGCACCTTATTATGTCATTATTACTGCAGCTACTGAACTCTTATTTGCTTTCCTTAAACCTACAAGAAATCCCACTAACTTGGGAAAGCTGACTTGGGGTGCAATACGAAAGATAAAGTCAGCTGATTTTTCATGGCATGCCAACCACGCCCTTGGTAATCTTCCAGTTTAATTTCCTGCTAGGTTTTCAATTAAACCTCTAATAAAGAAAGAAAATTATGAACCAAGATAGATCTCCGTTTCTTTTTTATCTGATTACATTTTATATACATTTTGTGTACACAAAAATCAATTATAAAAATTAGTTGGCAGCATCTGTTTTCCAGACCTGTTTCACAGGCAACAGAGCATTTCTCTACAAAGATCTGTTTGACTTCTCAACCAAATCAGACAGAAACAAGTGCTAGTAATAATAACAACAACAATACTTACACTGTAAGTTAGCTTGATCTTACATATTTCAGTTGCCATTCCCACTTTCAACTGGCTTATTCACACCAACGCTGAAAGGGGCACTGAGGACTACAGGTGCTTGAAGAGGGCTACCGGCAACGGTACCTTCTGAGCTTCCAATGAACAGCTAACCTGACAGGTTAGCAGGTGAAAATTTCACTGTAAACCACTTTTAAGCAAAAGTGATTAAAACAAAGCCACTGTCATTGCTGACCCTTCTTTTGGAAATAACAAAAGAAACATGGAATACTTCCCCGCTGAGGGGAAGTAATCTGGTAGGGACACGAACCAGTTAGTCAAACAAGTCACGTTCCTAAAACACTTCTCAAAAAGGTAGGCACGGAGCTCCATAGCTACTTCTTTGCAATGTCTTGTATAACACGTTATTATGTTACCAGAAAGATGAAATCTTTACTAGAAGGCATGCAAACAGCACCCTGAGCCCTATTCTTACGACAAATTCTGTGCTGTCTCTAATGTCCACCAAGATCAGAGGAGACTAGAGTTTTTAAATTCTCATCCAAAACATTCAAGTCAGAAGAACACCAAATAATATACTTGATGACACTTCAAATCAGCAACCACCTCTTTAAAACTGGGTACTGCAGCTGGCCTTATCCTCTTAGAAGGAACATATGAGACCTTTATCAAATCTCTAGGACATGCATAATGGATGAATGCAACAATCTTTTGCATGGAAAGACAGGGCTTTAAAAAGCCACCGCTGTGGAGTAAAATGACAGGGGCCTAGCTTGTCCGATTTTGCATGCCCTTTCAGCACTGTCCACTAAAGCTGGCAGACAAAAAAGTTAAGATTCCAATCTACAGCTACACACCTCTGTGGCCAAAGATTCAAAGTCTCTCTCTTAGGCTGGTTCTGTAAAGTTTGATCCCCTCTTGTATGATCCTCCCCTCCCAATGACTGCAGGACTGGATTAAAAACCCACTGGCATTGCCATATCTGCTGTACAACCTCTCTTTTGCTTATAAAAATGGTTTAATACCTACCTAATGCATACAATTTCAATAGTTTGTATCTCACCAGAAGTACACACATTCTACTTCATTTGAAGTTAACTATTGACTATACAGTCAATACTTGACCAGTACATGTGTCAGGACTGAATTTCAAACAAAAGCAAATAAAATCTGAGAAATGGCAATTCTTGTCACTCCTCAAGTCTGCTTACTCTGGAAAAGCAGACTGTGACCTAGAGGTAGCTGTCATGTCCTTATGTCTTGTTCAGTTTGAAACTGGGTTTCTGCCTGAGCTGTTTTCAAGTCTAGTTTAACTCTTTAGCTACTGGAGGATGATACCAGAAACCTGCTGAATTTGGCAGTAACTTGGCCAAGGATATCGTTGGTTCAAGGAACATTTGTAGGAACCCTCACTCCCCTCAAAACCTTTCTGCCTACCTGCCCTCCCCCAAGAAAATGGGAGACAGCCTGTTAAAGAGCAAGCTGACATAGGGGACAGTCCTTCTCCAGTGTCCGGTAACCTTTCTCTTGGTAATTGTTGGCTGAGTTTTCATTTATCAAATCTTGTCACACTGACACCTTCTGTAAGTTGCCTAAACTGCGTTGCCAGGAGGGTACGTGACAAATCCGGTGCTCCTGAAGCATGGAACGATTAGAGTATTGGATCAGCGCTCCCGCAGCATTGTGCTGTTTGTGTCTCTGTTTCTGGCTGGGTTTCTTGTAAAGACAGGAGCCACTGGAAAGTAATTTGAGGGAAACTACTAGTGC